ACACTCTTGGGTATTCTCTACTGCTTTTTGCACCAGAATTTCAAGCTCTGCCGGGTCCTCAGAAGGATGATGTTAATTTGACTTGCTCAGATTAGGCATCCTCTGAGGCCTGAAATGGTATTTGTTGTTCTGTACCTCAGATCTGATTTTTATAAGGGAATAATGGTGACCAGTGACACTGAATTTGGCAGGGAAAACGTTGCCTCTGCCCTGACACTGGCAAAAAAAGGTTTATTTGTGAGCAGAATCATTTGTTACATGTATTGTGCAGCTCTTGCTGCCTCCTGGTGTGGAGAGGGAAAACTGCCCAGAGCCAGGGTGGGTGGTTGTGGGAGGAAGCCAATGTGGTTGTTAACAGTGGGAAAGCTGGAAGGGTGTAAATGGAAACATGAAGGCTGTGGGTTTTTGCTGCAGAATTCCATGGAAGTACGGGACAGTCTTGGCTGGTGGCTTTTCTAGAAGTGCAGCTGCAATGGGCCGATGCTGATGGTGCTAAGGGGCTATTAGGAACAGAGCCGAAGTTGGAGATGGAGATTTGACACCTTGGGCTAACTGTAGGAAAGTCCCTGTGCTTTTCATATAGCAAAGATAAACGTGGGCCATTGATTGGCACCACAGAACTGACAGACATTATATTTTGCTTTTTGAAGTATTTGTGCTTCTTAACACACACCAGGATGTCCAGCAGGTTGTTTTAAATCTGGAAGTGACTAGCACCACTAGGCTTTTGAAGGGGATATTTGCTTGGCTGGTGGCCATCATTGCACTAGGCTGTCTTATTCCTTTAATCACTTGAAAAGGACAAATAAAGACAAGTACTGCATTGGCAGAAAAGTTTTCTTTCATACTGTTCAGAAACTTGCACTCCAGTATGTGATTATGATGTAAAAAAATGTATGTGTTAAAGCCAAACAAAACCCCAAAACGGCAATAAACAAACCAGTATTCAAGGAAAAACATGTTCAGGTGTTTTGTCTAACTCTCCTGAACAGTAATGCCTACCATAAAAACTAAGCATTGAGCTAAAGGAAGGAGGGAATTTCATGATCTGAAAATTGACTGGCATTGGGACCAAGGCTGTGGGTTAAACTAACATTTGCTTAGGAAATTTAGATCAACTGGAGAATTTTCAAGTTCTGAAAGACTGTTTATAAAATAAAAATGTTGACAAGGCTTTTACAGTTCATTGAGTAGAACTCATGTCTGTTGGGATTATATTGCCAGAGAAGTGCATGTGTGTGTTAAGTTATTTAAAATGCTCAGAACTGGTTTGCTTTAAAATGTTGAAAAGGGCTATTTTCCGTTTTGCTAGAAGGAAGTAGGGGAAAAACAACTTTGTCCTTAGAAGTAGTTTGCAATCGCTAAAGTGGGTATACAGGATATTTTCTTTGTTCTCTGAAGTCCATAATTGAGAATTCTTTGTCTACAAATATTAATCTCTGTGGAAACAAAGAATTTTGAAGGCACATGTGTAATGCTCATGTGCATCTGAAATACTTATGTGTATCGCTGCATTTATGTTGTACTCAAATGTACACAGCAATTGGGAGGTTACAGGCTCAGCATTACTTGATGGCTGATAGCAAAATACAGACCAACTTTCAAAAGGAAATAAAGACCTATTGTACAGATTGTCCTCAGCCCAGCAAGGCACATAAATTGCTAGGTGGAAAGGGTGTGAACTGCTCTTGTGACTTCAATGCAGTTAGCTTAGCGGCTTAAGTTATGCGTGGAGTTAATCAGTTTGCTGAAGATAGCCCTAATGTGGTTACTATGGAAAAGTTTGAGCTTTTAACAGAGCAACATAAATGTTTGCTTCCAATGCCCCCTGCTTTCAGTGAGGTTACTAAATGTTGCACTTCTCTGTGAAAGTTATCATAGTGACCTGATATTTTTAGTACAGTGTCTTTTTGGACTGGCTCTGTTGTATAGCCAGGATTCATTCTGCTGCTTCCAACCTTCGCCAAACACTCTGCAGTTCAGTATGAAGTTTCAGTTATTACTTCTGAAACCTGAAAGGTTTAGCAATATTGCAGATTTCCATCTTTCCTAATATTTTGGCCTTCATACTGACTATGTCACTACTTTTTGACAATGTATTTTACATTTCATTTTCCAAGCAGTGTTTTATTAGATTAACTCAGATGGGAAGAATAGCTTCACATTTATCATGAGTGACTTGCATGTTCAGTCAAACACTGTGATATTGAGTAGTTTAAATCTCCAGTGTATGAACTGTAAATTAACATTAAAGGCCTCTCTTAACATCCATTACTCTGTTTAAACAGTCGTGAAGAATTACTAGTTGCTGGTAATTTCTCCTTGAATACAAATATATCATCTGTTCTAATGTTGTTTTAACTCTCTTTTCATGACACACAGATCAAGAATATCTTAAAATTAGGAAATGGCAAGGCTGAATAGTGTAATGGATAATTGAGACTTTTATTGCTGTTTAGTAGAAGTTTCAGGTTTGCTTGCAGCTCAAATTACTAATTTTCCTAAAAGCCAATGATCCTTTGGTTACTGAGCATGGTCCCAGAGGATAAATACCCATCCTTCTGGGACCACTGACTCAGCCTCTTCATAGTCTTAGCATAAAAATCTGACCTGTGAAGATGTGAAGTATGCACTCCTCTGTTGCAAGGGATGACTTTCTTTACTGAGTACAGTAGTCCTTTAAGGCATCCAGGCAGAACAGTGTGGAGAGTACTTCACTACAGACTTTTTTTGATAAACAGAGAATTTCAGACCCCAATGCTTTCCATTTATCACATTGCACAAGTGTGAGAAATTTGGACATAGGCACAATAAATAAATCAGTAAAAACCCCACAGAGTATGCTGCAGGATGCATTTCAGAGTAGAATCTAAGAGCAGAACTGTTGAAGAGCTTGTCATTTCCAGTTCATGTAGCAGTTGTGAAAAACAGCTTTGCATCTTCATAATACTTTAGCAGCTCATTGATTCCCCCTCCCCCCCCATAATCTAAGGACTGGGATCTGTGCTTCCCAAGTTGCTTAGGAAGCCTGGTGACATGAACTCAATACTTTTGAAGACTGAAATTGGAAACTCTGGCTACTGAAATCAGGATTATTAGCACTCATCCATGATAATACCTTCTCACTGTGTTGCCACATATTCACCTCACTGCAGTGTGTCTCTACCTGCTTATCCTGCCTCCTGTTATCTTTGCTGTCTGCCACTGCATGCTGTAGGGTGCACAGTACTAGGCCATAAAACCTTACCTCCTCATCCATTCTCCATCCCTTCTTGCAAACTGCTGCACATCTTTTCCCACCTCATGCAGCTAAACAAGGCGAATTTGTTTTAAACCACATGGGGATTAAGATCCTTTGCAGTATCTTGATTAGTGTTTAGGGGAAAATAAAATGCCAGTTTAAGCTTCTGATCTTTCATAACAGCATATAGAACTCCAGTGTTCAAATTTATGCTTAAAACAGCTGTTCTGGAGTCACATGTAACCAGAAATTAATTAGCCTGGAAAAGAATGACTGAAACTTAAATATAATCAAGTTTGTATTTCAGCTTCCATCTGTGGTGAAATCAAGACCTATTCAGCTTTATGATAGTTCATGGAGATGGCTTGATTTTTATTCTTGCAGATTACAAATTGCTTGCATTCTTGTTGTCTTTGTATATTAAGAATGACCTTATTTAAAAACTTCTTATGGTTCAACTTTCTTAGTAGGAACATTATCATGCACAGTTGAAACTTCTGTGGTGAGAAAAGGCATGTGCTCTAACAACAAAAGCCTGGCTTTATCCCTGTATTTGCACTGCTTAGCTGATATGTGCAAAAGCTGGTCTGTGCTAATGCTTGATAATAGTATATGGCAGCTAGCTGTATGTAGGGTTGACCAGTTGTTTATCCAGTTACTGTGTTTATGCAGATGCAATTAATGCTTTCATACCTAAACTCTCCTCTTGTTTTTTTTTATATCTAACCACCACTGTCCTCATCACTAGTGTGATATTGAGTGCCCAGCATAACTAGAGAGACGTAGAAATTTATCCTTGGAGTAGCCAGTCTTAAGTTATAGCTGTTTTGCAGAAATAGTTGATTAGAAACAACTAATTTCCCTTGAACCATAAAAAAATGAAACAGTTGACTACCTAAATCAAAGCATACATTTAGAATGATCTTGCAAAACAACAAAACTTTTTCCAGCATGTAAGCTTTGTGTGTTGTGAAGCTGTAATGATGAATGTCTTCTGGAATAACTGCTGTTTAAATAGTGGTCGTACCCATTCAGTGCAGCAATAAAAGGGGGTTTGTTGCTGATTTCGTAGACTTCAATGTCTCCTACTATCAATGTTCTGTTTGGCAACCTGGTGCAACCCTGTATGGACTAGGCTATAAGGAGTATTTAGAAAGTAAATAGTGGGCTGTTTGTCAGGGAAAGTCTATACTGTGAGCATGAAGGAGCTTGATCTATCAAGACTGCCAGGCTGCAATGCATGTTTTAAGTATTTTTACATCATGTACTTATTGGACAAAGAATCTTCTGCTGCTTCCTTATAAATATAATAGCTACTGGAGTAGTAGCTATCTGTGGATCTGTTCAGAACCAGCTGTATAAAAAGTGCTGTCATTATGTGAGCATGAATATGTTAGGAAGCTATTTCTCTCTCTATTCCAGCTGACTAAAGACTATAAGCAACATTGAAAGGCCTGTGTACATGTGAGGGACATGGTCCAGTCAAATGCTGAGGGAACACATGACTGTAATGGATTTACAGTGGGCTGGCAGTGCCCTACATTTTTTTTTTTCTTAATAAAAACTGCTGCGGTCACAAAACCTGCATATTGTTGTAGGTACATGGATGGTGGTAAACTCTTTCCTGGGGGGGAAGCAGGCATTTAGTTGGTAAAAATCTAAGTTTTCTTTGATTTTTGTGCTTAGTACATTTTCTAGCCTCTTGTTCACATAATGGTGTCTTATTTCTTTGTTTTAGTCTTATTTCTTGTGATTAACATTACACTGTTTGTGCCAATGAATTAATCTGTGGTTGATCTCCAGTGTGTTCAAGCTGGAGTTTGTACCCTCCTAATCCTAGGTCTCCTTCATGAATATCTTCCTTGCCTGTAGCCTGGGTGGAGCCTGTTCTGTCCTGCGCTGGCACTGGTATGTGAGCAGATGATTCATAGTTTTCAGTCAATTCATCATTATCTATGATATAATCTGTGTCATCATCCTTTGGTTGATCCTGTATTCAAACAAAGAAAAAGATCAGTGGAAGGGGGACTCTTGAGGAGGATTTTTGTTAAAGCTCAAGTGAACAAGTCTGATGCAATTCCACTCTCATTTTATTTCATTATTTGCTTTTTTTTTAGGTGTTAATTTACCATCTTGATGTTGATTAAAGCAAATAGTTGCTTACCATGTTCTTCTCTTGAGCAGTGTTGGGAAACATAACCTACCCTTCAGATCTTTAAGAAAATTTCAGTGCTTTAAATATCACTGATGGGTAGCCAATACTTTCAGCATCTGGCTGAATTATTTAGAACATGACTCATATTTGAAGCTCACAGTATTAGTGGACATTCTTGAAAATGTAGGAAAATGTAGCACTGTAGCTTCCGAGACCTCTTCTCTGCAACCCTGAAGAAACTTTATAATTCTTAGCCTTAAAAGTAATAAGCTTTGGAAAAGGGCCTTTATCAAAGTGTTTCATTGAGTATAGCAGGTCTTGGATTACACCTTAAATACAATTAACTGAGCTAGGTACTTACGCCATATGCACTGGGGCTGGTCAGAAGCTTGGCAACAGGATTACACCATGCAGGTAATGTTGTTGTGAGAGGTGGACCAGTGTGGGTTAAGATAGGTTTTAGGTATCTGTGAAGTTTGTTAAAGAATATTTCCCATACAGATACTGATACTAAGATTCTTCTCTATTACACAAAGAAATTTCATTTTAAATTATGAGAGAATCATCTAACTGAATGGAAACATAGAAAATACCATCTCTTTACTCACCCATTACTGCATACATTCATCTGTCATCAGTCTTGTCTAATATTTTTCAGTAACAACAAAAAACCCCAAGCCCTACACCCCCAACCCCCAAAACAAAACCCAAAACACTTGATGCTCAAAATCTGTCTTTTGAAGGGTGCCAGAAAGTGTGAAGGGATTGTCTTGTGGGATGCATAAATGCAGTAGGAGTTGGAAGAGAGGAACTGTGTACTAGATTATCCTGTTTACTATTGTCACACTTACAGCAGACAGATGACCTCCTATACAATTTCAACAGGAAATAATTTAAGATGCAACTGTATCGGCTCCCTTAAGAACAGTAGTGAACATTTTCTTAAATACATGTACTCAGCCTTTTGTGAAATCAGTGCATTTCTTCAATAGGCAAAGTATATTTCATCAAATATTAAGTTTCTTTGTTGCTGGGAGTATACATAGGTTGTTCTCTGTAACACTTTATTTTCAGCATCCAATGCATTTGTTTTACACTTCATACATCAATGTTCCTTTGTATAAAATTATGTAAATAAGTTAGGAACAGGCTTTATGCTATTGTCTCACACCTGTCTTTCCAAACTCTTCATCCAAAAGTGCTTTATTGAGATGAAAGAAAAACCTGCTCATCTTGAGCAATCATTATCGTCCTCCTATATGTCAATAACAGCTCTCCCATGAGTCCCTCAAGTTGACTTATCTTTGCTACTTTTACTCACAAAGTAATTTTCAGTGTTCTTTGGGAAGCAGGTCTGTCAGCTATTTTTGCTGCTAAGGAAAATTTGCTTTATTGATTGTCATCCCACTTTCTCACCCCTGCTCCTTTTTCTTGCTTGTTCTCTCTCCCTCACTCTTTCTCTCTGCCTCCTTAAAGAAGAAAGGAACAAATGTAAAACTGAGTAGTGATTCAAGCTCTACAGCAATATTGTAGCAATACTGAGCAAGTAACAGTGTGTCTTAAATGTAACCACTCCAGTGCCTCCTTTTCTTTCATTATTGGTTGTTTAGGGTATCGCTGCTTTATACACAAAGTACAAATTCTGTATCCTGAAGAAACTGTTAATGGAAAACACCCTTATGATCTCAGTTACAGATTGACAGGCTAAATAACTTGCTCTGCTGTTCTCTATACTACAGCCGTGGAAGTTGTTCTATAGCATCTGGGTTTCTTGTGTGTTTGTATTTTTTGAAAATTAAATTGCATCTGTCCAGAAGCCTGTGTGATTCCTTCATCCAAGGTCATATACTGAGTCAGTGTGAAAAATTGAGTCTACTTCAAAAAAGATTGTAAGATTTCAATGTAAATTTTTATCAGAACCATGATCAAGGTGGGAATCTTGTCAGATCAAATTGTGCAGGGAAGGTGTAGATCCTCTTCCTCCTGTAAGAGTAAAATCAAACCAAACAATCCTTTTCTGATCCACTCCCAACCTTATCTGGAACCTCTGAAGTGCCAAGCAGTTAAGAGCTATTATTAAAAGGCAATGTATGAAAGCCATCAATTAGAGTTGTTTTGTTTTCAGCACTTCAGGAAAAACCTAATTAAAAGGCCAAAAATGGAAGTAGGACCATAATTCTAGGTTTTTAATCTTTGGAAATATTGGCTTTGTTAGTACAAACAACTTGAGTTATTTCAACGGAGTTGTCAGACCTAGCATGAAAAATACAGGCTTGTAATGGAAGTCGCTTTTGATTATACTGAGTTCTGTCTGCTCTGTTCTTTTATTCTCTTCCAGAGTAAGTAACCAAAGCTGAATATTACTCTACATTTCCTCCTTAATCTGATGTTTGAGCTAGGCCTTAATTCTAAGCAGCCTCATAACTTTATAATGAGCTTTTATATCTCTCAGTAAAAGCTTGAGTCCTGTTTTCCTCCGATGTTTTCATGAAGCCCAGCACCACATCAGACAGGAATAGAGGGTGCATGCTGAAACAGGTTAGTCACTTGGCTGCCACAGCAGTCTTCAGTCTTTCGAGCCACCACAGCTTTTAGCATAAACTTTTGTCTGGTGTGTTTAACTGGTTGCTATGTGTGTATGCTGATGTTTTGAAGTTGAGTAGTGGCTTCGTTTGGGGCTGCAACAGGTTCTCTAACTCCCCTTCCTTTTGCATTTGCTCCAACACATTCATTGCATATTGTCCATGCTTCTGCTTTAAACTGCATCTCAAGAGGCTTTAAAGTGAAGACAACTTTCTTGTGCTTGTTGTGATGCTTCTGAATCCGAAATAAATTATTTATCTCTTCGTTCCTTATTTAACTAGTTATTATTCAGCCCACTAAAGGAACTTAAATTGCACTGGCCTATTTTTCATTGTTTTAATGACCTATGCCATAAACGTTTTCTCTTTATTGTTGACAGAATTGCTTTATAGTATTACAGACATAATCACATCATTCACTGCAGCATGAAAGAGGAATTCTAATCCATGTGCAGTGCTGGCATTTCAAAAGTATATCAGACATGGGCCGATAGCATTTTAGGGCTGGAAGGAAGTCTTATCACACTCCAGATGCATTTCCCACCATCTCCAGGGAGAAATAATTTAAATAGTGTAATAGAAAAAGGTAGATTTTCCACTAAGGCTGCTTTAAAAATTGGAAGAAACTAAGTGCAAACCTCTTAGCATAACTCAAATTACTGCTGAACAAATTCATGCCTGTCTAATTCAGGGATAGGGAAAAGATAGCAGGAAAACATTATATGCATCAACCCACTTCTAGATTTGCACTTCAGTCCTGCACAGGCAGAACAGCCCACCTGCATGTCTCAAATTCTACACTGTACAATATACTGTGTTAAAAAACATTATTAATATGGTCAAGGTGATAATTTCTAAGTTGGGAAACTGAATTCAGCATACCTGTATATGCACATGTGTGGAATTTTAATCTATATACAGTGCTGGCACATTAGCATGCCTTACTTTCATAACCAAATACCAATTTTTCCATTGATTCCCTGTATCTCTAGGTTTCCACTCTCAGTTTACATGCCCAGAAATGTTTAGCCTGGGTTCCCTCATTGCTATTTGAACATCTCTTTGCCCAGGCAGTTCCAGTCTTCCCTTGCCACTAGCCAGGCACAGTTCCTCTCCCTTCCTGTCCCACTGACACCAGACTCAACATCTAAATCTGTTTACCCCTTCCTGATTTAGCTTCTGTCTCTGCAGATTTTGACTCATGATATCCTTTTCTGTACTGCCCAGCAACAAGCAAAGAAGGCAATGCCACTGCAGACAAGACAGTCAGCAAGTGTCTGAACAATGTAGCCTGAAGTTGAACCACAGGCAGGTTGTCTGTTGGGACTGATGAGGCTGAGCAATTCAAATAGGGCCTACAGGGAGGGTACAGCATGCTCAATAGCAACAGGACCTTCAGAATTTAGCTTTTGAAATTGAAGAGTGGGTGTTTTTTCTAAAGTCTATGAATAGCCAATTTTTCCAAGTTTCACAATGTGATCTAGTTTAGACTGGAATTTCAAAGAAATGGCAAAAGGCATTTCCAAGGTGGAATATGAAGTCTTTGCTTTAAGTATGGTGCATTTCAAAATAATCCCATGAGGATTTATCAGGAACAAAACCATGGAATTGCATGATTTCTATGTTGTTGGTGGTTTTTTTGCCCCCAAAGCACTATGCCTGAAACAAACATCTATTATGGAAAATTTCCTCCTATATAGTTACTGCTTCACAAACATACAGGTAACTTA